CGTAGAGAGAGTCCTCTTCTATAGCATCAGGTGGGGATGGACCTGCGGACCTTATAACGCCAGATCGTCCCGATACCATAGTGGATCAGGAAAGTGAATCTTTGAGGGCAGTGGTCTCTGATTCTTCGGGAAGCCAAGACAGCACACAGAAAGGCAGAAGAGTAGGTCAATCTGATAGTTTGTCACTTCGGAACTACTTAAATGAGAACTACAAGCCTACACGGAAGAATCATCTCGGTATCAGTGACCTGCAGTTTGTAGAGATATTCAGTTCCCTCCAATGCTTGTCTCAGAAATTGAACAAGAAAGAGGTGAGGTGAGGTGAAATTAGGCTTAACGTCGTGCTTGAGAATATTTCGCTCATATGACGACGTGCATGCATGTGTATGTGTATGTGCGGCTGTTTGTACTAGACCAGACTTAAGCTGGTTTTATAGTGCTAGCCCACTGAGATACCATTCCGCAGTGAAGCATGAATACCCACTCAGACACATTAGACTGACTCCGAGCCGACCAGTCCTTGTTGTACCCATTAATGCCGAGCGCCAGGCAGGGACCAACAAGTACCATATTTTAACGTCTGTTGGTATGACGCGGTCGGGGATCGAACCCGCGACCTTCCGCTCTCCGGACGGACGCTCTAACCACTACACCACGGAGGCGGTTCGCACAAGAAAGAAATACAATATTTGATGGAAAACGTCTTAGGAAAGACCCATCGTCCGCATCGCGGCTTGAAGAGTGTGTTGAGTCAAAAGCTGTATGATGTGGTTAAATTACCAAACTGAACCAATCACAACAGCAAGAAAACCTAAGTCCCCTCAATCACTGAACGTGCTGTGCAGGAAGGTAGTGTCCAAGTTCCAAAACACCACAATGAGCATTACCTGGGCTCGTGACATATATGCTACCCGATATGCAGAATGGAAATCCACATCTCTCCACAGAAACGATGTCCAAGTTGGTGATTCAGATATTCCAAGTTTTGGTAATAAAAACCGGAAAGTACAGATCCACAGTTTAGTATGCTTGATTCTCACTATATGCTTATAAACCATCGTGTTAAGGTCTGCAAGACAGGAATATCAGATTCGGCATTGGCTTGGGTGAAAATCGCGAGAGAATGCCAAATGGAACCGGGTTGAATTTATTTGTTGTATATACCGATATTTTGACAGTTGAATGCACTAAATGACACACATCAAATTGCTGTTTTCAAGTTAAATCTGCTCTGAAATGGAGTTTTACAAACTGCAATCAATGTTAGTGTATTGATGTCACCATTGTGGTGACCATTAGCAACCGGTATCAGGCACCATAGCAAACCGTATTCTCACATGGCTTACTATCAGCTACCGTAGCATCAACGTTATAACATGTTGTGAATATTATGTCATATCAACCTTTCCTGACATCTAGCGGTCAATACAGTTAACAATCATGTTATGGTAATGCTTCTTGAACATAAATATATGAGCTGAATTTCGCTTTAAGTACAAATTTAGATAATAATAAACAAATGAAATCGAAAGCATCAACACTGTTTGGAATCAAAGGGTCATAAATTCGTAAATTCACATTTAAAACAATTCCTTTGAACACATTACATTTTCCAACACTTCATCTAAATACTGGCTATCTATGATTGACAAGATGTTAACGTATAAATGTGATAAAATGTACCTGTCACCGTGAGGCAACCAATGTTATTCAGCCGTAGCGAGCCGTTACTCTGTACATAGCAAACCGTAACGGCCAGTAGCAAACGTCTTATCGCTGGTGCGTATTACAGGCTGTGGGTATACCGCGGTATTACTAGAACCGTGGTAATTATACCATAATGCAATCCAAAAATTCGGTATTTTCGGTTTTCGTACCGTCATTCTATCTATTCATAAAATGACATGCAGATTTGTTCATTTAAAATAACAAAGATTATTGTTATTTTTTGCCATGTTATTACAGCTTGTTCAGATTGACCTGATCAAGTGAATACTAATGCATTGCGTGACCGTGTCACAACTGGTTGGGTCTATTATTGTGAAGCTTTGTCAGCTGATTGTTAACAGCCGAGACAAAGTCGCAGTTTGACATCTCAGTGTCGAGAAATCGTCAGCAATGTCCTAACGTTCTTTAAAAAGGAAGCTAGAGATGGTTTAATGTTTCCGATTCGGGCTTTTAGGCATTAATAACTTTCTCTGCTCCCCTTTTTAATGAAGTTAACTTGACCTGCCGTTTGTGCCTTTTGACCTCCCGGGTCATGCATATGTAGAGTAGCTCAGGTCAAGCTGAACAAGCTGTAAACATAAGGTTTGGCTTTTGTTGTCAGTTTTCTCCATTATGATCATGTACCGAACCGAAACGGACCGAACCGAAGGCCTTGTACCGGAACTCGTACCGGCGTGGTAAGGGCGTACCGCTTCACCAGTAGTTGGGGTTCACAATATCTGGGGTCCTGATGGGCAGGGGTCTATTGTTTTTCTTTTTTCGATTCGTTTTTAACAGTGGCAAATGCTGAAAAATAAACATTGATTTCGAAAGGGCGCAGTCCACACACTCATTCTCAATGTAAGTGCACAATTGCAAATATGTATTTCAAAAAATCGAAAGTTGGAATAAGAGGTTGTAAGTTGTATGATGCAAAGGTCAGGTATATTTTAACTACGTTTATGAATTTCTAACATCCAATTCAGACTTAATTTCTTGTTATCATTGTCCCAAAATGGTATATTATGATTTGATTTTATAATTGATAACTATAGTTTAATCGATCAAATGTGTAAACTTTTCAAATTGTATTTATTTGTAATCAAGAATGTATATTCATAGACTCTTAGAAACAAAAACCACTGTCCTTAACATCGTCCGTAGTATAATATCTAATAAAGATGGAAGTAGGTTTGATTGTATCTTACGTTATGAATCTTGTATTTTACATTATGAAAAACATTTATGTTCGTGGAAAAAAACATTTGGCCTGACACGCGACTATCTTTAGCATAAACTACATCTAAGTAACCTAAACCCGATAACACTCGTTGTCCGTAACGGCAAATTCCGAATATAACGTTTACACAGCATTAAAGATTTCCTCAAATTTACAGATTCATATTGCGTTATACCATCGATCATCACATGAGTATCGTATCGTACTATCGTGTTGTCAAGTGCGCTAACCCACCTACGTATGTTGCAACCTATTTTTGACAATTTATCCCCCTGGATTTAATATATATAGCCGATCATGTATAGACAATAAATACAAACGTAATATACATAACGGACAATACAATGACGATGTTCGCTGGTAGCCAACTGATATATTTGGCATGACTTTGCAGATTTCTCCATTTGCTGGCATAATTAGCACCTAAGCAACTCATAGTATGATGTGACGCATGTTTATTTTCTCCATTTTGCCCGAAAGGCCATAACGTAAAATACACCCTTAACACTACGGTTATATGTAAATAGAAAGTTGTTAACCTCAAGTATGTAAAGGCACCATATGATATGAAACGTTTTGGTTTTCTTTTATTCCACAATTAAATAAACTAACTGCGAGATAATACAGATGTTCACTGCAAGTTACAATTGAATTTCAGCTGACTTGTAATCCATAACGTAATATACATGAAAACAGCGAGATAGAACATTTCATTTTTTAGTGAAATTTAAGAAAATGCTTAACAGTATGACTTCTTCAAAGTTGTCTAAATAGATCTTGTGCTGTCATTAGACACTTGTTTCCGTTTCCACAACTCAGCATGTCATCTCACAAACAGAGTCGATATACCATATCCTGTTGGCGACATTCCTATTTTGACAAGTACACTCTTGGCTGGGGCATTTCTCACAAATATGGACCGCAAAGTGTGACTCTAAAGTAAATTATTATGTTGCCACTTCGATATTAAATTAAATCAATCATATATTGTAAAGTTTTATTCAAGCATTTACTGGAAATGTATTGTATATGGAGACGACGTGATTTTTTTGTAATTGTGCATTTATACTGAGAATGAGTGTGTAGTGTGATTAAAAAATCAAACAGATAAAGTTATAACTACTATCGGTCAAGGTACGTGTTGATCAGGGTTGTCGTTGAAATCAAGTTACCAATTATTTGATTGACGGTAACGTCGTTGTACTGGTGTTTACTCCATGTAGTCAGGCAGGACGGGGTGCTACCAAGTAACACCTCCAACTAGAGACCACAGTCTCTGCTCCAACCTGTATACTTACTATGTCAATAACTATGACTTGCTTTTAAACTTCCGAATGTCAACGGGTGTGAAGGGACTGTGTAATTCATATGACATCTCAACAACAAATGTTTAGAACCTACTACGTTGTGGAACTTCAATCCTACACGAGCGAATCAAGTGAAAACAAACACAGAACTTGTTTCTCAGACTCTCGAGGGGATGACTCAGCAGTTTGATCGCCCGTCCTGGATTTTATCAATTTCATTTTTTCTCTCTGCATGACTCATGTAAAAGTCGCAGAAACCGCATACAATCAATATGATATCACTGAATCCGATTTAAACAGTTGCATAGAAAGGGATGAAGTCGCCAAAATACGACAGTCCTTTAAACAATCTCATCACCCAGTAGTTAGAACTACTTGAAACATTATTTTCTTAATATATATTTTATCAAGCTATATAGTCAGATTGTCATTGAAGGAATAGACTTTATTAATAAATGCAAAAAATATGTCGCCTAATATATAGATCTATAGAAATTCTTGTTATTTTTAGTTGTGAGGAACAATTTCATACCGAAATGGTGACAAAATATAATGTGTCCTCATAATATCCTTTTGTTCGAGCATTATACGGAAGAATGTTTGGGGGTGGAATTTTATATGTGTGACACACAGACACTCTCGTTTGATTGGCATATGCATACTATTGATTTCAACCGTGCGATTAAACTTTGTTTTGTAATTCAATTTTCGTTTTTGATGACCCAGCATTTTGGTGACCTCTTGACTTTCATATAAACCCGCGAGCAGTCAGTCATCTCGCCTTGTCAAGTCAGCTGTAGAGGTGTAATCGTTTGCTTGTGAACAGACCGTCGTAAGGTAGGAAGTGCCATAAATTTGATGTACCCGATTCTCCTTAGTTATTTCAATTATGCACTATCATGATTATGTCATGTTTGAAATATTCAAAATGTGTCGCTCGCGTGGACGGCTCATGCTGTCGCCGTGATTTGCTTGTGAGACAGAGGCCCTGAAAAGGTTGCATAAATTTCGGCTTTTTCTATTTGTATAACTGCGTTGATAAATATGTTTTGTTTCACACGGATGTATGTATTCAATGCAAAGAGTCTTCCCTTGCATCTAAGACGATGATGAGGATAGAGAGGTAATAGTTTTCAAGCCAGCTCGGGCCTCATTTGTGATGTTGAATAACATCGCTTGTATCTATCCTTCATGGCCCTGCAACTTCCTTCCTTGTGCGTCCACACATACAGCTGTCGACAGTGATGGCTGACATGGTCTGATCCTCCACGTCTGTGTCCTGTAACTGATCACTGATCCCATACAGTAGTTACATACACAAATTACATCATGGATGTGGCCTACCGTATTAACCCTATAAAGCGACCTCACCAATTTCTAGACTAGTGGAAGTATATGGTCTATGTAAGCGCTTCCCACTAACTGTAAACACTTACATAGCTGCCCTTGCTTTTTTAATGCATAGTACAGCATTTTTTACAGAAAGTTACCTGTAGAATGGTAAATTTGTCGCCTATGACTATTACTGAAACATTTTATCTGTGTTTGAATGAAGTTTCTTAACTCACGACTGGTAGTAGACAAATATATTTGGTTGTGTATGACTTTTATCAGATATCCCCCATCTCTCCTGTCTCTGAGCTCCTAGGGGACAGTGGGGAAGCCAAGTGGTTAAAGTGTTTGCTCGTCACGCCAAAGCCCCAGGTTCGATTCCTCATGTTGATACAATGTGTGAAGCGCATTTCTGGTGTTCCCCACCGTGAGTTTGCTGGAATATTGTTAACAGCGGCGTTAATCTTAGTCACTCACTCACTGTTTCTAAGCACCCAGGGCAATTATGGCGAATAAGGTGTTTGTAACAATGTGTATGACTTAGCAGACATTCCCCATCTTTCTAATTTAAATTGTGAACAAAAAAGTGTATTATTTAAAACAGAAAGTATATCATGAACAAAGAATTCCCCATTGTTCATACAGTGTGTGTTCAACATTGAGGTGATATATACACTGATAAGGCATCACTAATGTGGATTGACTGTTGTCTTGTATGCAATCCTGATAAAATATGGGTGAAACACTAGTTCCTGGCCACTTTCACTCAGCTGGAATGTTGCTCTGTAAACCAGAAGGGACATTTCTCCGGAAATATTTTCAAATTGCGAAATGTAGCAGGTATATCTGAAAATGAACTTACTGTAATTAGCATGTACATCTTTATCATGTTTTAGGTCATGTTTTAGAGGGACTTGTTTCTTGCCCCTCTTACGGTTGTCCATCAATGATAGATTCAGATGAAATAACAGGTGGAAATCAAGTCTAACCACCGGAGAACCTTAATGTCTCCAAACTGATTGTTGGATTCCAGATGTATACAAATTACAATATACCCAAGTTGTAGTGTTGTCATGGATACATGTGGTACCTCTGCGGGTCCTGCTAGACAACTTAACCATCAGGGTGTGGAGCAGTGATAGCCAGTTGCTGTATTTTGATGCATATAGCTGGAGCATTGCTGTGTCATGGTAGAAAACACACAAACAAAGGATATGTTTATTTGATGAAGTACACAACACCTAGCCTCTATTGAACTATCCATGTATGTCTTCTAGACACTAGCGGGAGGTGTTCCTGTGTTGAGTCTGGCTGGTGGTATCGCTCCATTGGTTTGATGTACATTAACTGTCTTCTTTGATGGTAGGATGGTACATCAACTGTATTGGCCAGCTAACCATGTCAGATGGCATTCTTCAGTAGGTGAAGCAGACTGTGTGGAGGGGTGGTATTTAACCACTGGGTGTTACTGAGGTATTTAACCACCGGGTGTTACTGAGGTATTTAACCACCGGGTTTTACTGAGGTATTTAACCACCGGGTGTTACTGAGGTATTTAACCTCCAGGGTGTTACTGAGGTATTTAACCACTGTGGTGTTACTGAGGTATTTAACCACCGGGTGTTACTGAGGTATTTAACCACTGTGGTGTTACTGAGGTATTTAACCACTGTGGTGTTACTGAGGTATTTAACCACCGGGTGTTACTGAGGTATTTAACCTCCGGGTGTTACTGAGGTATTTAACCACCGGGTGTTACTGAGGTATTTAACCACTGTGGTGTTACTGAGGTATTTAACCACCGGGTGTTACTGAGGTATTTAACCACTGTGGTGTTACTGAGGTATTTAACCACCGGGTGTTACTGAGGTATTTAACCTCCAGGGTGTTACTGAGGTATTTAACCACCGGGTGTTACTGAGGTATTTAACCACTGTGGTGTTACTGAGGTATTTAACCACCGGGTGCTACTGAGGTATTTAACCTCCAGGGTGTTACTGAGGTATTTAACCTCCAGGGTGTTACTGAGGTATTTAACCACCGGGTGTTACTGAGGTATTTAACCACTGTGGTGTTACTGAGGTATTTAACCACCGGGTGTTACTGAGGTATTTAACCTCCAGGGTGTTACTGAGGTATTTAACCACCGGGTGTTACTGAGGTATTTAACCACTGGGTGTTACTGAGGTATTTAACCACCGGGTGTTACTGAGGTATTTAACCACTGTGGTGTTACTGAGGTATTTAACCACCGGGTGCTACTGAGGTATTTAACCACCGGGTGGTACTGAGGTATTTAACCTCCAGGGTGTTACTGAGGTATTTAACCACCAGGTGTTACTGAGGAATTTAACCACCGGCTGTTACTGAGGTATTTAACCACTGGGTGTTACTGAGGTATTTAACCACCGGGTGTTACTGAGGTATTTAACCACCGGGTGGTACTGAGGTATTTAACCTCCAGGGTGTTACTGAGGTATTTAACCTCCAGGGTGTTACTGAGGTATTTAACCACCGGGTGTTACTGAGGTATTTAACCACTGGGTGTTACTGAGGTATTTAACCACCGGGTTTTACTGAGGTATTTAACCACCGGCTGTTACTGAGGTATTCAACCTCCAGGGTGTTACTGAGGTATTTAACCACTGGGGTGTTACTGAGGGTATCTAACCACTGGGGTGTTACTGAGGTATTTAACCTCCAAGGTGTTACTGCGGTATTCAACCTGCAGGGTGTTACTGAGATATTTAACCACCGGGCTGTTACTGAGGTATTTAACCACTGGGGTGTTACTGAGATATTTAACCACCGGGCTGTTACTGAGGTATTCAACCTGCAGGGTGTTACTGAGATATTTAACCACTGGGGTGTTACTGAGGTATTTTAACCACCGGGATGTTACTGAGATATTTTACCACCAGGCTTTTACTGAGGTATTTAACCACCGGGGGTGTTACTGAGGTATTTTAACCACCGGGGTGTTACTGAGGTATTTAACCACCGGGGTGTTACTGAGGTATTTTAACCACCGGGCTGTTACTGAGATATTTTACCACCGGGCTTTTACTGAGGTATTTAACCACCGGGGTGTTACTGAGGTATTTAACCACTGGGCTGATACTGAGGTATTTAACCTCCAAGGTGTTACTGAGGTATTCAATCTGCAGGGTGTTACTGAGGTATTTTAACCACCGGGCTGTTACTGAGGTATTTAACCACCGGGCTGTTACTGAGGTATTTAACCACCGGGGTGTTACTGAGGTATTTTAACCACCGGGCTGTTACTGAGGTATTTTAACCACCGGGCTGTTACTGAGATATTTTACCACCAGGCTTTTACTGAGGTATTTAACCACCGGGGGTGTTACTGAGGTATTTTAACCACCGGGCTGTTACTGAGGTATTTAACCACCGGGGTGTTACTGAGGTATTTTAACCACCGGGCTGTTACTGAGATATTTTACCACCGGGCTTTTACTGAGGTATTTAACCACCGGGGTGTTACTGAGGTATTTAACCACTGGGGTGTTACTGAGGTATCTAACCACTGGGCTGATACTGAGGTATTTAACCTCCAAGGTGTTACTGAGGTATTCAACCTGCAGGGTGTTGCTGAGATATTTAACCACCGGGCTGTTACTGAGGTATTTAACCACTGGGGCTGTTACTGAGGTATTTAACCACTGGGGCTGTTACTGAGGTATTTAACCACTGGGGGTGTTACTGAGGTATTTTAACCACCGGGCTGTTACTGAGGTATTTAACCACTGGGGCTGTTACTGAGGTATTTAACCACTGGGGGTGTTACTGAGGTATTTAACCACTGGGGCTGTTACTGAGGTATTTAACCACTGGGGTGTTACTGAGGTATCTAACCACTGGGCTGATACTGAGGTATTTAACCTCCAAGGTGTTACTGAGGTATTCAACCTGCAGGGTGTTGCTGAGATATTTAACCACCGGGCTGTTACTGAGGTATTTAACCACTGGGGCTGTTACTGAGGTATTTAACCACTGGGGCTGTTACTGAGGTATTTAACCACTGGGGGTGTTACTGAGGTATTTTAACCACCGGGCTGTTACTGAGGTATTTAACCACCGGGCTGTTACTGAGGTATTTAACCACTGGGGTGTTACTGAGGTATTCAACCTGCAGGGTGTTGCTGAGATATTTAACCACCGGGCTGTTACTGAGGTATTTAACCACTGGGGCTGTTACTGAGGTATTTAACCACTGGGGCTGTTACTGAGGTATTTAACCACTGGGGGTGTTACTGAGGTATTTTAACCACCGGGCTGTTACTGAGGTATTTAACCACCGGGCTGTTACTGAGGTATTTTAACCACCGGGCTGTTACTGAGATATTTTACCACCAGGCTTTTACTGAGGTATTTAACCACCGGGGGTGTTACTGAGGTATTTTAACCACCGGGCTGTTACTGAGGTATTTAACCACTGGGGTGTTACTGAGGTATTTTAACCACCAGGCTGTTACTGAGATATT